TGGACCTGTGGGCAGAGGTGTTCCTGGGTTAGGTGACGGGTGGGGACCTGTGGGCAGTGGTGTTCCTGGGTTAGGTGACGGGTGGACTGTGGGCAGTGGTGTTCCTGGGTTAGGTGACGGGTGGACTTGTGGGCAGTGGTGTTCCTAGAGTTAGGTGACGGGTGGACCTGTGGGCAGTGGTGTTCCTGGGTTAGGTGACGGGTGGACCTGTGGGCAGTGGTGTTCCTGGGTTAGGTGACGGGTGGACTTGTGGGCAGCGGTGTTCTAGGGTTAGGTGACGGGTGGACCTGTGGGCAGTGGTGTTCCTGGGTTAGGTGACGGGTGGACCTGTGGGCAGCGGTGTTCCTGGGTTAGGTGACGGGTGGACCTGTGGGCAGTGGTGTTCCTGGGTTAGTGACGGGTGGTTTGGCCCTTTTCCAGGGTTAGGTGACGGGTGGACCTGTGGGCAGTGGTGTTCCTGGGTTAGGTGACGGGTGGACCTGTGGGCAGTGGTGTTCCTGGGTTAGGTGACGGGTGGACCTGTGGGCAGCGGTGTTCCTGGGTTAGGTGACAGGTGGACTTGTGGGCAGTGGTGTTCCTGGGTTAGGTGACGGGTGGACCTTGTGGGCAGCGGTGTTCCTGGGTTAGGGTGACGGGGTGGATCTGTGGGCAGTGGTGTTCCTGGGTTCGGTGACGTGTGGACCTGTGGGCAGCAGTGTTTCAGGGTTAGTTGATGGGTGGACCTGTGATCAACTGTGTGTTCCTGGGTTAGGTGATGGGTGGACCTGTGATCAACTGTGTTCCTGGGTTAGGTGACGGGTGGACTTGTGGGCAGCAGTGTTCCTTGGGTTAGGTGACGGGTGGACCTGTGGGCAGCAGTGTTTCAGGGTTAGGTGACGGGTGGGACCTGTGGGCAGTGGTGTTCCTGGGTTAGGTGACGGGTGGACCTGTGGGCAGCAGTGTTTCAGGGTTAGGTGACGGGTGGACCTGTGGGCAGTGGTGTTCCTGGGTTAGGTGACGGGTGGACCTGTGGGCAGTGTCACTACTGGTAGCATGAGGACATACCTGGACCCTACAGAGGTTGTATAAGCAGTCCAACTCCTCCAGGATGGCACATCAATATGTACCATTGCCAGGTTTGCTGTGTTTCCCAGCACAGTCTCAAGAGCACGGAGGAGGTTCCAGGAGACAAGACAAGACAAGCACGGAGGAGATTCCAGGAGACAGGCAGTTCCTCTAGGAGGGCTGGACAGGGCCGTAGAAGGTCCTAACCCATCAGCAGGACCGGTATCTGCTCCTTTGTACAAGGAGGAACAGGATGAGACCTGCCAGAGCCCTACAAAATGACCTCCAGCAGGCCACTGGTAGGAATGTCTCTGACCAAACAATCTTCATGAGGGTGGCCTGAGGGCCCGACGTCCTCTAGTGGGCCCTGTGCTCACTGCCCGGCACCATAGAGCTGGATTGGCATTGGCCATTGAACACCAAAATTGGCAGGTCCACTACTGGCGCCCTGTGCTTTTCACAGATGAGAGCAGGTTCACCCTGAGCACGTGAAAGGGTCTGGAGAAGCTGTGGAGAACGTTCTGCTGCCTGTAACATGGTTCAGCATGGCCGTTGTGGTGGTGGGTCAGTGATGGTCTGGGGAGGCATATCCATGGAGGGACACACAGACCTCTACAGGCTAGACAATGACATCCTGACTGCCATTAGGTATCGGGATGAGATCCTTGAACCCACTGTCAGACCCTATGCTGGTGCAGTGGGTCCCCGGGTTCCTCCTGCTGCACGACCATGCCCAGCCTCATGTGGGGAGGGTATGCTGGCAGTTCCTGGAGGATGAAGGAATTGATACCACTGAATGGCCCTCACGCTCTCCTGACCTAAATCCAATAGAACACCTCTGGGATGTCATGTTTCGGTCGATCCGACGCCAGCAGGTTGCACCTCAGACTGTCCAGGAGCTCAGTGACACCCTGGCCCCAGATCTGGGAGGAAATCCCCAAGGACACCATCCGTGGTCTCATTAGGAGCCTCCCCCAACATTGGCAGGCATGCATACAAGCACGTGGGGGCCACACAGACTACTGAGGACCATTCTGAGTTGCTGCAATGACATTTCACCCCAACATGGACTCGCCTGCAGCATCATTTCTTCACTTTGATTTTCGGGGTGTCTTTGATGGAAATGATCGACCTACAGAGGACTGAATGGAAACAATGGGACATCCTTAAGTTCCTCACCCATCACCCAGTCCAGATCAGTGTAGAGATCCAGCAGGAATTCGTCCCCATTGAGGTCTGATGGGTTCTCAGAGTTTTCCTCTCATTTTTTGGAGCCGTGTATAAACCCAGCCTGAGATCGGCCGGAATATGGAATAACCAAGACCACACCCTTCATTAAAGGATTTATTGATGTTAGCGGATTCCCTTCCCGGTAAAATGTAAACAGGTCAACAAAATATAATCTCTGAGATAATAACGATCGGTAAAGTCATGTACACTACGATGGCATGCAGCCTGGATCACATTGGTATTGCCTGATTACATCATTTTCACGGCTGATGACATCACAGTTTCGGTCTCATGTCATGACTATCCTATGTCAGGACTTCCCCACTGTCCATGTGTTGTTATCTGCAGGGGAGGGGGGGGGGGGTGATCCTCAGCTAGCCTCTTCATCAGACACCTGCTCACTCGGGATGAGGCGAAGGTTGGCGGCTCTCACGCTGGTTAGGCTGGCACAGATGGCCATCAGGTCCGACACACCCTGGAGGGTAACCCCTGTACCGTCCAGGTTGACCTGCACGATGGAAGAATGTCTCAGGAAACGGAGACCTGGTGGTGGAGAGAGAAAAATATGAGACAAGATGAGTGAGGACAGCACAGGACCCTTCCAGGACCTCCCTACCTCTCAGGTTGCTGGGTGGCCAAAAGCATGTGGACACCTGACCATCACACCTAAATGTATGTTCACCCCTCCTAATAACAGAGGTCAGCTCCATAAAGACATGGAGGACCAGTTTGGTGAGGAGGAACTTGTGTCCTGCACAGAACCCTGACCTCAACCCTACTGAACACCTTTGGATGAATTGGAACCCTGATTGTGACCAAGAGCATTTTGTTGGTGTTCAATGTGAGGCCAAATACATGAGCCAGGTCTTCTCATCCACCATCAGTACCTGACCTCACAAATTCCCCCAGACACCCTCCAACATCTTTGTAGGGAAGCCTTCCCAGAGGAGCCAGAGCTCCGTAAAGGCATGGAGGACCAGTTTGGTGAGGAGGAACTCCAGTGTCCTGCACAGAGCCCTAACCTCAACCCTACTGAACACCTTTGGGATGAATTGGAACCCTGATTGTGACCAAGGACAGTTTTGTTGGTGCCCAACACATGAGCCAGGTCTTCTCATCCACCATCTGTACCTGATCTCACAAATTCCCCCAGACACCCTCCAACATCTTTGTAGGAAGCCTTCCCAGAGGAAGCAGAGCTCCATAAAGACATGGTTTGACCAGTTTGTGCAGGACGCTCAAGTTCCTCCACACCAGAGAACGGACCTGAATTTTTCTGAAAACCTTTAGGACTAATTGGAAATTTCAGGAGAGGCCATGATTTTAGAATGAAATTTCCAAAAGCTCAAAGCCCTCAACTCATCCCTACTAGGATGGACTGGAATCCCGATGGTGAGCCAGGACTTCTCCTCCAACATGGACACGGACTTGGAATGAAATGGAGGTGGGGTGGTCAGACATTTTGGACCATACAGTGTAACATGACGTCTTCATAGTCATGTTCTTAAACTTTTCCTAATTGGGGGGTTGGGTTCATCACTTTTTGGATTTTTATTAAACTGTCACTGGAAACATTCAAGATGTGGGATCATCATTGACTCTTCCTCTACCATGGACACAGGACAAAGCCACCGCCGCAGGAGATGGAGCTGCTTCCTCATGGTCCTCACGCCACCTAACCAGAACTCCAACGTCAGTAAGTCCAACAGAGGGAGACCTGCTCCCTGCGTTCATAAACCACCCCCGGTGTGTCCTCTGCCACCCCAACAGGTCCCATGACCCCAATCTGCCACCCCAACAGGTCTTGTGACCCCCGTCCACCCCCCAATGTGTCCTGTGACCCGTGTCCCATGCCCCCAGTCTGATCCCCCGCGACCCCAGTCTGCGCACCCCCCCCCCAGTTGTCCCGTACCTCCAGTCCTGACCCCCAATGTGTCCTCTGACCCCACTCTGCCCTACAGCGTTTCATGCATGACCCCCACTGTGTCCCCTGGCCCCAGTCTGCCTTATTATTATTATACAGTATTTATAAAGCCCCCATAGTTGGCTCAGCGCTGTACATTACAGAGGGGACAGAACATGTGACAGAACAATACCAATACAATGTGATACATGAGGGTTAGAGGGCCCTGATCCTTGGAGCTTACAATCTAGGAGGGAGGGGATGGTGGTACGGGAGGAGATAGCTGTGGGGGAAGTGGGTGGTAGAAGAGTGGAGGAGGTCGGCAAGTTAGCAGGGGGTGGGGTAGGCTTCCCTGAAGAGATGGGTTTTCAGGGTGCGCCTAAAGAGAGGAGAGTAGGTGATAATCTGATGGGTTTGGGGCAGGGAGTTCCAGAGGATGGTGACACCCTGGAGAAGTCCTGGAGGCGAGGCATAGGGAGGAGGAGACCAGGGAACTAGAGAGAAGGAGGTCTTGTGAGGAGCGGAGTGTGCGTGTTGGGTGGTACTTGTGGATATTAGGTCAGTGATGTAGTTCGGGGCAGTAATGGTGACGGCTTTGTACATCAGTGTTAGGATTTTGAATTTGGAATCCGTTGGGCAATCGGAAGCCAGTGGAGGGATTGGCAGAGGGGGGTGGAGGACACTGAGTTGAGGCCAGTGGAGGGATTGGCAGAGAGGGGTGGAGGACACTGAGTGGAGGCCAGTGAGGGATTGGCAGAGAGGGGTGGAGGACACTGAGTGGAGGCCCAGTGGAGGGATTGGCAGAGAGGGGTGGAGGACACTGAGTGGAGGCCAGATTGGAGGGATTGGCAGAGGGGGGTGGAGGACACTGAGTGGAGGCCAGTGGAGGGATTGGCAGAGGGGGGTGGAGGACACTGAGTGGAGGCCAGTGGAGGGATTGGCAGAGGGGGGTGGCGGAGATGGAGCGGTTGGACGAGTTTGGCAGCCCGTATTCAGGATGGACTGAAGAGGGGATAGCCACGGTGAGGCAGGCCCAGTGAGGAGGGAGTTGCAGTAGTAGAGTCGTGATAATGATGAGGGAGTGGATGAGCTGCTTAGTGTTTTCTAAGGTTAGGAACGTGCGGGATTTTTGCGATGTTGCGGAGGCGGAGTCTGCATGTTGCGGAGGCGGAGTCTGCATGTTGCGGAGGCGGAGTCCTGCATGTTGCGGAGGCGGAGTCTGCATGTTGCGGAGGCGGAGTCTGCATGTTGCGAAGGCGGAGTCTGCATGTTGCGGAGGCGGAGTCTGCATGAGTTTGTTAAAAGATTGGACTTGGGGCTGGAAGGATAGGTTGGAGTCCAGAATGACACCCAGTACTCTGGCCTGTGGGTGCGGGTTTGATATTGGGCGTTGTTGGATTGTGATGGAGAAGTCCAGTGGGGGTGGGGTCCGGGCTGGGGGGGGGAAGACAAGAAACTCGGTTTTTGGAGAGGTTCAGTTTGAGGAAGTGGAGCGACATCCAGTCTGATATGTTGCTCCAGTAGGTGTGTGATTCCGTGGGCGGAGACCGAGGGGGTGAGGTGGAGGTGGCGGAGACCAGGGTGGTGAGGTGGGGCGGAGACCGAGGGGGTGAGGTGGGGGCGGAGACCGAGGGGTGAGGTGGGGGGGTGGGGCGGAGACCGAGGGGTGAGTGGGGGGTGGATGAGATAGATTTTGTGTGTCTTTAGCATAGAGGTGTTAGTTGAAGCCGTGAGAGTGTATTTGAGGTTTGGCCAAGGGAAGGAGTTGTGAAGATGAGAAGAGAAGGGCCCCGAGGACAGAACCTTGAGGGACCCCAACAGAGAGGGGGAGTGAGGGAGAGGTGGTAGCATTATAGTGTAACGCTGAAAGAGCGCTGTGACAGGTAGGATGAGAGCCAGGAGAGGGCGGAGATCTCTGAGGCCGAGGGAGTGTAGATTAGTAAGGAGGAGGGGGTGGTGGACTGTGTGGGAAGGCCCGCAGAGAGGTGGAGGAGGAGGAGGAATAGTGGCCATTAGCTTTGGCAGTTAGCAGGTCCGTATGGAGAGGTTTGAGAGTAGGGCGGTTTCGGGGGAGTGTATGGAGGGCGAGTGTCGGGGGAGTGTCGTTGGAGTGTAGGGTGGTGTCGGGGGAGCGTAGGGCGGTGTCGGGGGAGCGTAGGGCGGTGTCGGGGGAGCGTAAGGGGGTGATGTCGGGGAGCGTAAGGGGTGTGTCGGGGGAGCGTAAGGGGGTGTCGGGGGAGCGTAGGGCGATGTCGGGGGAGCGTAGGGGGGTTTACGGGGGAGTGTAGGGGGGTTTCGGGGGGAGTGTAGGGCGGTGTCAGGGGGGAGCGTAGGGGGGTTTCGGGGGAGTGTAGGGGGAGTTTCGGGGAGTGTAGGGCGGTTTTCGGTGGAGCGTAGGGGGGTTTCGGGGGAGTGTAGGGGATGGAGGAGGTTGAGGTGAGAGCATAGGTGGGTGTATAACCTATCATGCATACCCAGTCCGACCCCCAATGTGTCCCATGACCCTAACTCTGCCGTATAACATATGTGACCCCATCTGACCCCCAATTGGTCCCATGACCCCAGTCTGCCCTATAACATCATATATCCAGGGGTGGACTGACAAGTCATGGGGCCCCCAGGGCATTAGGGGATCATGGTTGGGCCGTGTCCTCGCCCACAACCCAAAAAAGCCTATGAAAGGTACCAGGGGCATCTCATGGGGCCCCCTACTGAGCCCGGGCAGTGCCCAAGTGCTTGAATGGTCAGTCCACCCCTGCATGTATGACCCCCAATGTGTCCCCTGACCCCAGATGTGTCCTGTGACCGCAGTCTGACTCTCCCCCCAATGGGTTCTGTGACCCCAGTCTGCCCCCCAATGGGTTCTGTGACCCCAGTCTGCCCCCCAATGGGTCTCCTGACCCCAGTCTGACCCCCAATGGGTCCCGTGACCCCAGTCCTGACCCCCATCTTCACATACCTTTGTTGGTGACCCTCGTGCGGCTCAAGTTGACTTTCAGCAGATTTCTGCAGTTCTGGATTCCGAGTTTCAGGACATTATCACCGACCGGCGTGTCGGAGAGGCCGAGGACCTGCGTGGGAGGAAACGTCAACTATTGGGACATTCACCGGGATAGCCCCGCCCCTCAGTCACCCTCTGATTTCTCTTGATATAACATCCCACAATTATGGTGAGACCCCCAGAACAGGTGGAGGCGGGCTGGAGAAGTCCCACCCCCGCGGAGTACTGAGAGACAAGGAGAAGACTGGCAGTCCACAGGGGCCACCAACAACATGGCCGCCAGCACTGACCCCAGGATACGGAGGTGCAGTGAGCTCATTATAATTTCCTGTGGCCCCTTCTGCTCCAGGGACCCTCACAGGACAATACAGACCAGCACATCAGGACACAGTGTTACCCTCCCACCTTACCTGAGCAGCCAGGGACCTGGAGGTCCACCTACATCCGGAGCTCCCAGGGTTATATAGGGGACAAGGAGAGGTAGTGGGGGGGTTGGGGGGCCATTGGAAGACACGGAGCCGGGTGTACTACTCGCCCACAACCTGTCTCAGCTGCACTGAAGTCCCAACCCGTGGTTCCTGTCCTGCACAGTGCACTCCCCGCTGGCCGGGAGGGCGGGGCCTCCATGGATTGAACTATTTTTCCAGCACAACGGACAGATGCTCGATTGAATTGAGATCTGGAGGCCAAGTCAACACCTCAAACTCATAGTGTTCCTCCAACCATTCTTGAACCAATTTTGCAGTGTGGTGGGGCGCACTATCCTGCTGGAAGAGGCCACTGCAAGCAGCGAATACTGTGTCCACGAAGGGGTGGAGTTGGTCACCAACGATGTTTAGGTAGGTAGGACGTGTCCAGTAATGGGAGGAGCCAAGGTGTCCCAGCCAAACATTCGCCAAAGAATCACACGGCCTCCGCTGGATTGGCTTCTTCCCAAAGAACAGGCGAGTCCAACGCCGTTCCATCACCGGCCAGATCAGCATTATGGCGGCCTGCCTGCAAGACCGGATATGCAGAGCCCCCCCCCCCCCCCCCCTTCATACGTCTAGAAACCCTCCCCTCTGCCCCCCCCCCTTCATACGTCTAGAACCCTCCCTCTCCCCCCCCCTTCATACATCAGATGTCTAGAACCCTCCCTCTCCCCCCCCTTCATACGTCTAGAACCCTCCCTCTCCCCCCCCCCCCTTCATACATCAGATGTCTAGAGCCCCCCCTCTCCCCCCCCCCCTTCAACGTCTAGAACCCTCCCTCTCCCCCCCCCCCTTCATACTTCTAGAACCCTCCCTCTCCCCCCCCCACTCATACGTCTAGAACCCTCCCTCTCCCCCCCCCCTTCATACGTCTAGAACCCTCCCCTCTCCCCCCCCCCCATTCATACGTCTAGAACCCTCCCTCTCCCCCCCCCCATTCATACGTCTAGAACCCTCCCTCTCCCCCCCCCCCCATTCATACGTCTAGAACCCTCCCTCTCCCCCCCCCCCCCCCATTCATACGTCTAGAACCCCCCCTCTCCCCCCCCCCCCCCATTCATACGTCTAGAACCCTCCTCTCTCCCCCCCCCCCCCCCCCCCCCCCATTCATACGTCTAGAACCCTCCCTCTCCCCCCCCCCCCCCCCCCCCCCATTCATACGTCTAGAACCCTCCCTCTCCCCCCCCCCCCTTCATAAGTCCCCCTCCCCCCCCCCCCCCCCCCTTCATACGTCCCCCCCCCTCCCCCCCCCCCCCCCCTTCAACGTCTAGAACCCTCCCTCTCTCCCCCCCCCCCCCCCCTTCAACGTCTAGAACCCTCCCTCTTCCCCCCCCCCCCCCCCCCCCCCCCCCTCAACGTCTAGAACCCTCCCCTCTCCCCCCCCTTCATACATCAGACGTCTAGAACCCCCCCCCCAGATGTCTAGAACCCTCCCCTCTCCCCCCCCTTCTACATACGTCTAGAACCCTCCCTCCCCCCCCCCCCCCCCCCCCCCTTCAACGTCTAGAACCCTCCCTCTCCCCCCCCCTTCATACATCAGACGTCAAGAGCCCCCCCCCCCCCATCAGATGTCTAGAACCCCCCATACATCAGATGTCTATAGCCCTCCCCCCCCTTCATACATCAGATGTCTAGAGCCCTACCCCCCCTCACCCCCCCCCCCCCCCCCCCCCCCCCCCCCCCCCCCCCCCCCCCCCATCAGATGTCAAAAAACCCCCTCCCCCCCTTCATACATCAGATGTTAAGGGGGAGGGGGCTCTAGACATCTGATGTAAGGGGGGGGGGGGGGGGGGGGGGGAGGGCTCTAGACATCTAGAGCCCTCCCCCCCTTCCACAGATGTCTAGAGCCCCCCCCATCAGATGTGTAGAATTCCCCCCCCCCCCCCTCCCTTCATACATCTGATGTTAAGGGGGGGGAGGGCTCTAGACATCTAGAGCCCCCCCCTACATCAGATGTCTAGAGCCCTCCCCCCCCCAATATATATACAATGTATATACCGTGCTCCCCTCCCCCCCCCCCCCCCAATGTATATACCGTGCTCCCCTCCCCCACCCCCCCCCCCCCCCCCCCCCCTGTATACAATGTATATACCGTGCTCCCCCCCCCTACCCCCCCCCCCCCCCCCCGTATACAATGTATATACCGTGCACCCCCCCCCCCCCCCCCCCTGTATACAATGTATATACCGTGCTCCCCCCCCCCCCCGTATATACCGTGCTCCCCTCCCCCCCCCCCCTGTATACAATGTATATACCGTGCTCCCCCCCCCCCCCCCCCTGTATACAATGTATATACCGTGCTCCCCCTCCCCTCCCCCCCGTATATACCGTGCTCCCCTCCCCCCCTGTATACAATGTATATACCGTGCTCCCCCCCCCCCCCCCTGTATACAATGTATATACCGTGCTCCCCCCCCCCCCCCCTGTATACAATGTATATACCGTGCTCCCCTCCCCCCCCCCCCCCCCCCCCCCCCCGTATACAATGTATATACCGTGCTCCCCCCCCCCCCCCCGTATACAATTGTATATACAATGTATATACTGTGCTCCCCACCCCCCCCCCCCCCCCCCGTATACAATGTATATACTGTGCTCCCCTCCCCCCCCCGTATACAATGTATATACTGTGCTCCCTCCCCCCCCCCCCCCGTATACAATGTATATACTGTGCTCCCCTCCCCCCCCCCCGTATACAATGTATATATACCGTGCTCCCCTCCCCTCCCCCCCCTGTATACAATGTATATA